CAGCAACGAGGCCTTGGGCGGCTCCTCGCGTTGCTGCAGCAGCAACCGCTGTGACGGACGACTTGAGGTAAAAGGGGAAAGCTGCAGCATGCGGAAGAACACATGAACTACGACAGTGGCGTGTAGCCATGCGCAACGCAACTTTGAAGGGACAGGCGGATGTGCAAAGAGTTGAACGAAATATGCATCAAGTGAGAAGGCGAATCCCCCACCTTCATGCCTAATTGGTGTGGGGCTATAGGGCATGTAGTGCATACAGTGCATGTACCGAGTGCAGATAGTGGCATTTGGGGCTTTCCGCACTTGATCGCGATAGGGGGTGAAATTGCCAGAGCCGGAGCTCTCCTCCTACGCAACAACGGCCTCCTGTAACGACGATGGAGGATCCGTCGACTGGGAGATGTTGCAGTTGTTGCATCTGCTCCGGCAGCTGCATCTGCTGTTGCGGCTCTTGCGCGTCATTTTGGCACGTCTGTGGATGCGGTGTTGTGGAGGCTTCAGGGGGCCCGGGGGTGGCGGGTAGAGCGAGGAGAGCTGCGACGTCGATGCTGCCTAAGGGTTTGTCCTGCAGGAGACGAGCAGTTTCCTCTGAAAGATGTAGTGCATCCAAGAGGATTAGTTGTGTACGTGTAGATAGAAGGAGAAGCGGTTCGCTCCAGTGTGCAGCAACAACTTGCGAGCTGTGCAGAGGTAGCCAAGGGGTACGGCCTCCGCTTCCTTGACCCCGCTGGCTACCAAGGTGCCGACTGGCCACCTGCTGGGTAGTTAAAGACCTTTTAGGACGCAATTCGCGAGAGGCACAGATGGCAGCAGGCTCCACACACTGGGGGGTGCAGCTCGTCTGCCTCTGTGAGAAACGCCGCCGTTGCTGCTGCTGCTGCTGCTGCTGTTGCTCCGTCAGTTGTCCGTTTCTGCAGACACTGCTGCGTGTGCTGGTGCGACTGACGGCAGAGGGGGAGCGGAGAGTGGCGTTGGTATTCTTAGGCTGAGGAGGACGAGCGAAGCTGCTACGGTTGCTACGGTTGGTCTTTGCACTTGAGGGCCGGGACAGCAGCTGTCGTCTGTTTGCTGATCTCCACCTCCTGCCCACCGAATCTCCGTAAGTACTCCTCGGGGTTCGAGAGGGTGCATGCACTGACCCAGTAGCAAAAGGTGGAGGAGCTGGCGAACGAAGGATTGCAGGCGAGCGAGGCTGTCTGGGTGTTCTGGGGAGTGTGGAAACTCCGTCTTTCTGCTGGGG